CAAGGCGAAAAAAAAAAAACTCAAACAAAGGGAAAAGCAATCAATATTGTTGCAAAAAAACTTGACTGTAAGATGCACATAGACAAATGCAGGAGATTTTACAGAGTAGTAAAGAGGTTGATGTAGTGCGGCTGTATCAGGCTGTGTCAGTTTCATAGCTGTTGGGTTCCTTTTAACACCAGCAACAGCGTCGTAAGAGTGGCTTGGATTGCTTGAAATGCTAAGTTGACATTTTTGGGTCCATATCTGCACTCCAGCCTATAAAGAATCCTTTTTACTCTTACGCATTATTTTTCCATGGGCCACTTTAGCTGTATTGGGGCTAGGGTTAACAATATTATACAACAAACTGCTTTCTTTTGGGATACAGCATGTCAAGTTCACTGGACACACATATTGAAGGGCAAACACTCTTTAGCACAAGGATGGTATCTCAGTCTCCATTCATACAATGAATACACATCTGCACAAGCTACTTAATGCTTTACGCTCCCCTCGACGTGCGAGCTTTGTCTCTCTGCCTGCAGAACTTGTCGAGTGTTAAAATGTGTCTGCTAAGTGTTTAACCCCCCTGGGGACAACTTAACTACAGTATGTGTCACATTAGGGTGGAGGGGTGGCTTTAAGGAAATAAAAACTGCAGTGTGAAGCATGAAAATGTTGCACTGGTCATGTTCACGTCTACACTTGAGCTGGATGATGAAAACAGCCTTGAAGCGCTTTATAAAATTAAATGCATATTCACAATGAAGTGAAGTGGAATTAAAAAAGTGAATGCAAAAGTACAAAATGGCATTCTAGCATCACTTGACTTATGGTTAACCAACCTTCTACTTGAATACAAAGAAGCGTACAAGTGCCTTCATTTCCTCTAGTTCCAGTATTTATTGTCAGGATTGACCATGACCTCGCCCTATCAACACACCCTCACTGAAGTGGTATAACATCTAAGTGATGTAAAGTCATAAGTGCATCACCCGCCCTTCCTTTATCATGCTAATCACTTGTTGGGGTAGAATCCAGCCACCATATTGTTTGCATCCGATAATCCCATCATCACGTCGGTAAATATGTGCTCGTGAAAAATATATGATTTGATTTACCAAATATATATAAAGATCTCCAAAGACACTTTTATTCTCAAGTTTTTTGCAGGGTTTAGATGAACATAGCTTTTAACAAAAATGCTTTGCATGAACCTGAACTGATATAAATACAACATGTGCTATGCCTTTAGCAACTTATGATATTTTTGATATGATAGTTATCTTCTGTTTTCTCTGATTTGTATGCGTAAATTGCTCCCAAACATTGGGCTTACTTCTCACAGAGCCATACAGAATCAAGAAACGTATCATCTGTTCCTCCCATCATGCACCATCTGAAGTCTCCACTGTAAGCTCCACTTCCTGCAGGGGGTTGTGAAAGCTCGAGTCAAACCCTTTGTGCGGAGCTCTTTATGAGAGCGGACAGCTAAAGTGTCGAGGGGCGCAGACCTTGAGGACCTCTCCTCGGCCATGTGCTTTCTCTGCTTTTGGATTTTCGTCATGTGACATTCCTGCCAGAGAAAGGGCCCCATAAGAGCGACCTGTCTCCTCCTAACAGCAACTCTGCTCTGAGGGACCTTAGAAAAACCAGAGGGCCCTTCTGAAGCTGTAGGTGAGACAGGGCCTGCAGGAATGTTAATACAGCACAGTAAATGGCTTGCAGAAAGCTTTTGGCACAGAACTAACGTATTATGTTTAAAAACAGAAGAAATATCATATGCATTGCATACAAGCTTTCTGATATGTATGGGATTAAACTGGAGATATAACCATCCTTTTATCTAAAAATCAAAGAGGAAAAATAATCCATGAAAACATGAAGCTTCATCTGTGAAGATGTTTCTGTAATTCATGTCAGCATCCGCTCGGATAAACAATCATTCAACCGCAAAAACCGATTTTAAAATCCATCATTTCGAATATCTTCCTTAATTCCCTACTTACAAGGAACTCGTGCAACGCTGCTTATAATAAATAAAGCACAAAACAAGTGTAATCTCGTGATGTGCAGGGAAAATTCAACAGTTTTCCATGTAAAGGATATATGAATAACTAAACCTTAGCTCCATATGCTATGGTGTGTGGTTCATTGCTCCATTGTGGTTAATAAATAACCATCAGGAAGACAAAACAGAGTAAAAGACATGTCTAAATATCGTGAGGGCGCATACTGTAGTTATCAAGGTTTCTATTGGTCCACGGTATGCAGTAAAGGCTGATCTGTAGCTGTAACTTCTGAATATTCTCTTGACAATTAAAAATGTGGTCTTTAAAATGAAAGAAATTGGGCAAAATTGGAAAATGTTTTGTCTCTTCAACGGTCCAAATGAATCGAAAAATATTCAGGAAACATTTGAGAGGTTGGGAGTTGTCAAGTAATGTAGTCTTGATATCGTTTAATCAGTGTTTCAGGTCTACTGAATACATGCTGTTTCACTGGATGCAACTCAAGCGGATGGAGGAAGTGACCCTGTGATCTGTATCCATGAACACCATTTACTTTGCTATCTGCCTAAAAACTTTTTCTAATCTGTGACTTTACAGAATCTTTCTGACCTCCACAAATACATGTCCAGAAATAATCTCCCATCATTTCCATAGTCACAACCAACCCACAGCCTCAAAAAAGAAAAGAGTTGATTGTAAATTCACTGCGACAAAATACAAATGTCAAATTTGAAAGAGAATGCACAGAATGACCTTGAGCACTTCATTCAACGTATGCCAGATCGACACAGACAAAGCAGCGAGATGAAAACATGAAAAGCTTTTCATTCACTCAGCCCAGGGTCGATTAATAATTGTGCATAGTGGGACATTGAAGGTCTCACTAAAAGAGAAATGCAGGTTCTTTATAATCGATAGGCCTTGGGAATAAAAAGGGACATTTCATCTCAAAACATAAATCATCCAATTTACCACATCTACTTTACAATTAAAGCACAAAAGACGAGGAGAATAGACAGAAAACGTGTGAGCGAGTGAATATTTTTGGGATAGAGTTTGGTTATCCAAACTGAAGCAAAAGTCAAAACCCTCCCTGAACATAATGAGCCGTGAAGCTGCACCCCTCATAAAGCTAACCTAATGAAGAAATGGAGCCTCCATTCATACAGCAACGACAAATTGGATTTCATCCTGCCTTGCAAACGTGTCCAAAAAAAGCAAAAATCAAATCAAATAAATGGAACTGCCAATGCAAATCAGTGCACTAAGTGTCGCAGAGAGAGGGATCATCCAATAACAAAATTAAGATGAAGCATGCTTCCCAATGAGGGCAACAAACTGTATTGGTGTAAAGGTAAATCAACAGGAAGAAATATGTGATACACAGCATGTTGTACAGCAGAATGAGTCACTTTGCAGACAAAATAAGAGCTGGATAACCTTCCTATAAAAAGGCCTGCAATGAATGAATTATTTTAAGTGTTTCATGTCAAGGGTTTCAATCTTTTTTCAGTGAATGAAAAATAGATATATTGTCAAGTGATGAGAAAAACCATACCATTTACTGGAATCAGAAGGCATGGCGAAAACAGTAGATCTAGCATGCACATTGTTATTTCTATCACTATCTCAATGTGTTACTTTACCCGAGATAAGAGATTGAATTAATGCTCTCGTGTTCAGCTCACTGTCTGGACTGCAACACAACAGCTTCAAGGGAACAATTATTCTATTTTCAAACAGCGCCGCGTCCTATCAGGCATCACACCAGATGTCAAGTTCAACTGCTGTTATATTAAATATAACCCAGATTATATTCCACCAGGAGCAGCACTTATTTATGTGAACACACTGGAAACAAAGAGCATGTTGACATAACCGTTCAGTCAGGAAGCATCAAACGTCCCCTTGTGTTTCAAATCGTGCTTTTTTTCTGTTTTGTGTGTGTGTTTGTGTGTGTGTGTTTGTGTGTGTGTGATGATGCAGATTATATGACAAATGGTACTGCATTCCAGGACATCTAATTGTCAAAACCATCAATATAGTTTATGATATTCTGAAATAGGGGGAAATACATTACACAAAAAGTTCTTGAAAATTGAAAATATAATGGACCATGTTCTAAATATAAAGTAGAGAGGGCATGATGTTGCAGTGCTGAGGAAACTTCTCCTCAGATTCAGTGAGGCTGTGCGACCTTTCCCTCTTTGATTTAGATGTTGAAAGACAGTGTGCTGTCCTCACATCAAAGCCTACTGCAGCCCTGCTCCTCTCTCAGACACAGGACAGCATGTCTCCCTCAGCAGGGCATCATTCACTATTCCCTCTTTTCATACAGTGTGTACATGAAATAGTGATATGTGTTGTGCAGCGTTCAGAAAGCCAACAGTCACACTTTGGAAAAGGGGGATATATAGCCAATAACTTCAATATTTTAAAGCAACATAGTCAAACCATCATGACAAATGCAGATGCTCACACCACTGCATCCATCCTCAAACTCCTGCACATTTTGAACAACAGGAAGAGGCCTGCACTGGTTCACCTCTGATGTATGCATCAGTCCTGAGCTTCAGTCCACACACATGATGGAGGCCTATGTTCAATGTGAATTGTCCAAAATTGAAATGCAAGACTTCAACTTCATTCATAGGCATGCATCCAATATGCAACTTCTTTGCAAAGCCCATTGTTTGGAGCTCCATGTGAGGGTAAAACAACTGCTCAACATTCCCCATACATCAGATCAGAATCAATCATTCAGAAATGGTTAATTAGTCCAACAGGACATTTACATTTTCATATTGGCTATCAATATATCGTGCGTTGATCTGCGCTGATTACACATGAACGCATCGATGGCCAGTTAAAGTAATAAAGGGTGGAAAGCAAGCACATCCACAGTATCTGCTGCAGGGATTCATTGTTGTCGCCCGGAGCTCAATTTGAACATTATTCTGGATGTGCGCACAAACGGAGACGTGCATTTAGTGAAGTCGCACTTACCGCGGGGTTAGAGAGGACTGCTAAACAGCAGGGCTGGCTCACGTCCTTCCATTCAAAGTGTTAGTGATCATTTCTCTCCAAACTGTCTCTCAGGCGGTGGGTAGCGTCCTTGCGCGCGGTGTGAGGGAGGGCTTGATGAAACGGGTTTCGGAGAGAACAACGAATCCAAACAGTTCCCCCCAGCAGATGCGTTCAATATCCCGTGGTAAACAGCCTCGGTCCACAATCCGATTATCGGTGATGTCGCGGAGAGACAGCAGCTTCCTCGTGTGTTATCCACGCGCCTGTCCCTTACATCCCTTTATGGCACAAGCCGTCCTTCGGTGCGGGGGCTACATCACGTCCCATGAAGCTAAAACGCAAAATACCAGCAGCCCTGTCCTCTCTCGCTAACAGAAAAGAGTATCCAGGAGAGGAAATCTGGAGAGAGAAGCTCCGCAGGGGGAAGATCTGAGTTGTTTGGGTCCAAACACTGAGCTCCCTGCACCTCTGACGAACCAAATGTGCGCACTGGCTGGGAGTGAGTGTGTGTGGAGACCAGAGAAAGGTGAGAGGAAAAACTCGGATGTGGATTGCCGCTCTCCACGAATACTCGGGCTCCACCTAGCAGCAAACAGGAGATAGCATGCTCTCCACCTACAGGATGTGTAGCCTCAGGCTGCAAACCAGACCCATGTTATATTACATTCTGTCTGTGCGCCTGTGGCTGCAATATTAATGCCAAATCCACCCTGCCTGTCTCTCAGAAGACTCGTGAAAATGCAAGAACTCTCCATCAACAGCTCAATAAAGGAAAAGTAGAAACCAGGTGAAATAATAATAAAACACTCTGTTTAGGTGTGGCTGAAGGAATGCCACATATGTTTGCAGGTATAATATAGTGCATGTCCAAACTGTCCTCAAATGAAGAGTTCATGGTGCTGTTTCTTGCTGGAAGCTTGTTTTTCATACCGATACATTTGCTGGAGGCTCAATCTTCTTATTCTACAAGAGTGCCTCTGACTTTATATATAAAATAATAGTAAGAAATGGGCTAAAACAAAATGTTTGCCCAAATTTGAACTCAACCTCTCCAGCTGGACCATGCAACCTCTTCATCATCCATTAGCAAATGAATCACTCGTATAACCCTAATTGCAATCAAACATTAATCAGAAGTTCTCCCACTAATGTGCATGTGAACACAGACCTGCTGAAGCTCATGTTCCTCTCTGAGAAACACCTTGAACTGCTGATGAGAAATACCTGGCTGCCTGCCTGTGAAAAGATACAGTGTTATCTCTGCCTGGCACGGTATCCTATGCAGTCTGATGCAAATGGATTTCTGCAGGTAGAGCTCTGACTGAGGCTGCTGCCATTACACCGGCAGCTTCACAGCGACTCCTGAACACACCGCTGCTATCTCAAAAACATAAAATATACAAGAAGCACACAATAACTGTCTCTGCATTAGAGGTAACATGAATATTCCAGCAGTGCTGGAGATGCAGACAGACTGAGAGGATTCTCCTCAGATTCTGATCATTTCTCTTTTATCTTCTGAATAACACACTCCTCATGATAGCAGTGTAAAAAGCTTGGCGCTGCCTCCATTAAGATGGAAAAGCATTTCAAAAACATGGAAATGAGGGCAAGTTATATGTGGTTTAACTGCAGAGAAAGGTAGAAAATCATGAAAGTGATAGGGAAACATCCCTGAACTGCTGCATGAATATATATTTTCACATTTGAAAAGAATGAGAGCTAAAGCTCCAACAATATTTGTATTCAATAGTATTAGGAATTCCTGCTCAAAGTTGTTTAACAAAGACAATCAGTCTGATCAGACAACAGTTTAATGCAATGAATAGCTTACTGTGAAAACATGTCATATTTTATGTGTATAAAAGATCCCCACTAGGAGCATTAAAAATACATTTGATTCTATTATTGTCACAGTGAGTGGATATGCTCCTCACTTCATGCTAATGCTAAACTAACGGTCCTCAGGACAGGAATAATGTTACTGCTGTCAGATGAAAAGCTTTCATTTCTATTAAAGTATCCTTTCAGGGATTTAATAAAACACATTCATTTTCACATGCCTCTTCTGAACTGCAGAATTAGAACGGGTTCAATTTCGGAGGTGAAGTGTTTTAACAAGATCAAATTTAAACACCCACACAACGCGCTCGTCATGATTAACATTTTCATATTATTAAACATCACCGCAATGACTCTTATTCAGGGAACAGAGTCAAAACATACTTTCATAATCTGAACCAGTATTTTTATATTTAGAGTTGATCGCATGACTACTTGTATGGGGTGGATAACATTTGTTTATTAAAGAACAAAAACAGTAGTTAGAACACCTGGCAAGAATGGTTCAATCATAAGAAGAGATTTTCTGTTATTACAACAATCCAGAAGTGATCAATTGAAAATACTTCGAAAAATACAAATAAATATAGAACAATCACTCTTTTAAGCATCTGTTTCAGTAGTTTTCCAAGATATTTAGGTATAAAAGGCAGACGTACAGCATCAACTGTGATGCTTTTCATTCAGAATCACAGCTGGTTCACTGATCATTCAAATAAGTAAACTTGAGTGGCAAAAGAAACAATCAATCCCAAAATATGCATACAAGGACATTGAATATTGTATGTTGTATTAAAAAAGTTAGTGTAGAATGTATTTTGGATTACAAACTCGTTTTTCCCGTGGAGCGAAATGAGAAAGTAACATCTTAGAGAGGACCTATTCTGCTTTGTTTAGGTTTGCTCTGTCGGTGAAAAGAGAACAATTGAATGTTAAAGCAAAATGGTTATTCTGCACAGTGAGTACTTTTAGTTTGTGTACCCAAGTATTCTATTGATACTTTTGTGCTTTCACTTAAGTTATATTTTGATTGCCAAACAGTAACAGAGTATTTCAGCACTTTTAATTGTACTTCTACTTATAATTAAGTACTTTTCCTTGTCAACAGCAACATTTCAGCTCATGGCAACATGTTTTAGTGTGTTTGTAACATGCTAATGCTAGCCTTCAAGCTGTTGACATTATGTGTATGGTGTTTATATTTAAGTATGCCACAAGCTAAAAGTTCAGAAGAAGAGTGTGAAAATGTAGCGAACAGTCATTTTTATAATGTCACACTAATGTCAATGTCTATATCCTTGTAAACAGCGACATTTCCGCTCACAGCAACATTTGTAATTGTTAGCGTATCGTGCTAATGCTAAACCTCCAGCTGCCAAAAATGGATTCACTAAATACAGAGAGTTAAGCACCTGGCTGAGACAGAGTCATAATTGAACGCCGTAAAGTGATGCACGGCTCCATAAAACTTCTGCACAGCGACTCACATGCTGCTGGAAGGAACTCCTGCCAAATATAAAGCTGTTGAAGGAAATGAAGGCTTATGGGGACAGTTGTTGTGCAAAGTGAATCCAATAATGAAGAAGCCATTTTCCCTGTTTATCCACGCTAGCATGCCGAGGAATGATCCTCTCCAGTGCTGACACTTACACATGCAGCCGAGCTTAAAGTGCCCAGACACCTAGGAGCTCTTCTGCAGCTGTTTGTGTGTGTGCTTATGGAGAAGCGATATTAGGACTAATTGTACAACAATGACAACATTTGCAAAGTGCTCGGTAAAAGGTTAGAAGACATTTCTACGTTATGGTGAAATAAAACGTCTCCTCTCTGTTCAAGTTACAGCTGTTCTTGACCTCAAAGCCCCCCTGCAAGACACACTCACACACACACTTTGATCCCGTCTGATAGCTTCTGTAACAACACACACTCCCTGCTGCCTTTGTTCCTCACACACCAGAGATGTAATTCACACTGACACTAGACATCTTTGTCAGGTAAGCCTGTATTGTATTTGGCTACTGCTATTTATCTTGTTCTACCTTGGATGTGTACTTATTTACATTTTTATTTTGTTAATGTTGCATGTCTTTTTATTTGATAGCGTTTTATTTTCGTCTTCATCTATTCCGTCCCTTTGCTGTAACAATGTACATGTTCCGTCTGCTCAAAACAGCAGACATAATGCCAAGGTGAATGCAACACTCACCATATTACTGTTGGTGAGTCATTGGTCTCCATTTTTCCATCAGCCCATCCGGGCTTTGTTGCCCTTGTGCCGCGACTAAAAATTAAATAAATTCCTGGGAGGCCGTTTCCCTGTCAAGCCGCAGCAAAAAGATTCATCTTATTGGCAACATTAGCAGGACGAATCAGAAGAAATAAATGTATATGTATGTGCAGGACACTTACACAGACTTCATTCTGATTTGGCTGCTTCACACTTACAAAATGAAGCCTCATAACCAAATGTAAAGATATATTCTGCTGTTTTTAGGTTTCCCTTCCCTGTAGTGTGTTATATAGCTTTTTGTGCAAAAGCTTAAATGCCAAAGTTCCCTCCAGAGGGACACATCTTATGATTTGAGTTCTGATGCCGATATGCACCCATTCTGTAGGTGTTTCTTGAGAAGTGGGCTGTGAGCTTCACGCACATGACCACCCACAGTCAGTAGGCACGACACGCTGCCTACTTCCAGCATTACATCAGCTGTGATAAACTATCAACACCTCCGTCCTCCGTCTCTTTCACCCACTGCGGACTTAACTCAACGAAGGAGCGTTCCAAATGTTAGCAAAAAGCAAACAGGGTCAACTCAACCCCACATTTAAGAAAGCACAGCAAACATGAACTGATGCTGATGATATTCAAATCAGTTGACAGAATATATAACTATTAACTAACTAACACGTCTCAAAACAACAATTAAAGCTTGAATTACAATTGCTCTGTGTGTGTTTGCATTTCTTCTTTTTTTAGGATCAAGGATAACTAAGAGATATTGACTTGTGTCCTAATGTGTCCTAATGAACAGTGGTATTATGATTTTGGACACAAACTAAAAAGAAATATACAGTATAATTCAATGTAGTGAAATCAATGACTTTCTCTACTGGAGGAGTGTGTGCAGTGAGTGTGTGTAGCACACACTCCTACTTTCATGGAGGCAGAGGTGTGTGAGTGGGAAACGGAAAGATATTATAACAGCTCTACACTTTTAAATTGTCTTTACTATTTAACTTTATTAACTTGGGTTAGCAGCATAGCTCTGAAGCTTTGTGTTATGTTTATTTAAATAATTTATTTCCCACTTGTATGTTATAAGTTGATCTTTTTTTGCATGATATCTTTTTCCAGCTACTTCCCATCGTAATTCATATTATAATGAATTACTCCAACTAAAACTACATTTTTTGTTTTGCTGGGATATAATAAAATAAAACTGATTAACGGTTACACGATTTGATTCAGCAAATCCTTAAAAAAGTTAAGTGTTAGTTAAAGTTTTTTTTAAGTGTGTCTGTTTGCGTGTGTGCAAATGTGTCAAATGTATATCTTTAACCTAACAAAAAATAGTATATTAATAAACATACACCCATAGTCAGTGTCTCTGTGAGCTGCATTATATTTATGTTTGACCTTTGCTGTATTTAAACCCCCACAT